TGCTACAAATATAACACTAGTAAAAGCATCACTTGTATTATTATTGTTAGTAAGAGTAAATGGATCTCTGATGTTAACCTCTTGAAAACTGCTCTAAATAGAAGAGTCAGCAACTCATCTTCATTTTTTAAGTAACCAAATTACAAAAATGCCAACGCAGCAGCAATTCATGAATAGGGCTCCTGGCTTGACCTGTGGGCTTAAACACCTCTAGTCCCATGAGACGAGACAATTTTAAATAGCTACCATCTTTTCAGCATGTCAGTTTTATCATGACATTTATACAAGACAACTCTTGCTTCTCATAGTATAACTGAATTTAGGCACAGTTCAAAAATACATTGAAGTCAATTAAGGCCGCTAATATACAGCAGAAAGTGGATACTTGTCCCTCTCTAGGGAACATGTTTGATAAAGGATGCGCAGTGTGTTCTTGGGTAATTTCGTTTCCTACCATATAATGAGCACATCTGTCTCTTCTAATTCTTTCTATGAAGAATTATGCTTATTGTTTTGCCTTGTGTGTTTTTTAATGCACTGTTTTTAGAAATACATACATAAACAGTTTCGCTAGGGACTTGTGAGTTTTTTTTTTTAAGAAGGATCTTCTCCATTTTACCTCTCTCTCCCTGGTAACTCTTCCCTGTTAGCATGTCTGTGCTCTGATATTTTAAACAAGTGCTTTCAGCAGTGGCTCCATTAGCACTCTTGTAGAAATCGATTAGAGCATTAGATTAGAAACTGATTAGGTGCAGGAAAGTCAAACAAAACCCTGCAATCATTTTATATGGGTTGATTAGGGAGGAAGTGTTTCTACGTTATGCCTAGTTGTAGGTTCATTTTGCAGTAATAAATGCCAAGTGTCCGAGATGAGAGTTCCTTTTAAAAGTGTCTTATCTCAGGTTTCCTGCTTTCAGAATGAAGTAGAAAGACCATTCGAAGGTCTGAGAAAAATTGGTTCCAAATCTAGCGTGTGTACAATATGTTATTTTTGTTGGCAGGCTCTTGTTTTGTGGTTTAAGAAAACCATCTTTCTTTTGAATGTACTGTACACAGTTTGGTTTGCTTGAACGTTGTAGTGGAGGTCAAACTGGAATAAACTATTTATGTTACAAATTTTTAATGATGTTGATGGGTGTAAATAACTATATGAAATGTTCTGGGTTAATGATTGCTATCAACATATACCAAATGAAAATAAATGTGCCTGTCTGAAGCACAACTCCACGTGCTAATTTAGTCATTTACAGTATTGGTTTATAACCCTTCACATCTCAATGTTTTGTATTAGACTTTATTTTCAAGGTACCCTTGAAATTAGAAAATGAAATATTTTTACTTCTTAGTGATTTAGATCAATAATCCATTTGATGTATTGATCTGCTAGAGTAAGCGTGGAGTCATATGGTATTTATATGGATTTTGTCAAACATTTTCAAGGGCATGTCAGATTGTACTAATTTATGGGCAGAACTTCAGCTGTTTTCCAAGACTTTCAGAAAGACCCAGGCCTTAAAGTTTTATGTTTTGTTTCAAGACAACTCTCTGAATCTCAGGACTGAAATGAGAGTCAGGTGCCTGTTCCTGTTCTTTTATGAACAAAAGATTTGTACCATCTTCAGTTGCAAAATTATTGATTCCAATATCTTTTCAGAGGATTTTGTGTATTCACTTTAATTCTTTGGTCCATGGAACTAGGATTTAACAATTTTGTAGGACATCAACCATGAAAAGGTATGAAAGCAGATTTCTTTCAAGACAGCATTTCCCCTTGGGAAGAGTTTCAAACTGCAATTGCCAAACAGGTGTGGTGAGTCGCAGAGCAGCAACACTGCTTCCAAGCCTCTCTGAACTGTACACCGTGATGGAACTAGGGCAGGGTGTGATGGCTTGTTTCCCACAAGGGGCTGCTCTAGATTTTTAAAAACGATGGAGAAAAAGGTATTCTTCCTTAGAATCAGGGATTTACATCCTAAGAATGTGAATATAAAAATCTATAAAAATATTCTGAATATCAGAGGTTTTTATATGGGTCTGAGATCAACTCTAGCTCGTTTGGAGATGTCAAAGCAAGACAGAAATGCAGTTCTTCCTCCTTAGCCAGACCTGTATATAATGGATGTGGCTGCTCCACAATGACCACTTCCCTGCTCTATAAGAGATTTCAGAGGAGCTGTTTTAACTGCAGTCACTGCCTCTTTCTGATCCGTACTAGGTAAGAAGAGTGGGGTCTTTTTTCCCCCCCGATTTCAATAATTTTGTAAGAGGGCAAATCACAGGAAACAAATAGCCCCACTCGGAAATGCTCCACACTCTCATCTAATTAGCAGTTCCATGCAGCACAGTAATTACTTTTCTTTTCAGTCGTCCTCCTCTAAAAGCTCAAATACAGGAAGGCTGTAATCATGCCTGGGAAGCAGAGAGCATGCTTGAATTTCTTGTGGTTTTCTCTCACCCTATCGATTAATTATCCTGCTTTCTTCTCCTGCTTTCCATTTTTTGGGATAGTTTCGGAGCTCATTTCCTATGTTCGGCTGTAATTACCTGCAATTTGCATAGAGACTCCCTTTGAGGGTTTAATTTGAGGAAGGTGGAAAACACAGCCCTCTGCAGAGTCTTAATATGGAGGACTTAATTGTACCTGGAAGATCTCCAGCCACAGTCACTGGAAGCGACTGATTCATCACGAAATATTTTTGCTTTCCAGATGCTGCTCCCTGTATTTGTATGACTAATTAGTTTTTTTTTTAATTAATCCAGAACTGCTTTGGTTTAATACCATTAACTAATCAAAATCATATTACCTTGTGTGTCACAATATCGTTCTGTATTTTGAATGAATGAATTCTGCAATGAACAGGGAGGTCAGAAGGCAGTTTGCAGGGAATTCAAAGAATGACAAAAGGCTGTGTGAAGCTCTTGTCCACATACAGTATGTGTTCACTGGAATCACAGTTGGAAATCTTTTTAAGAATATGTTACGTTTAGGTCTGACGCAGTTAGAAACCCTTGGAGCATACAGCTCAGGCAGGGCTTAAGTTCCTTTAACAGCAGAGATGATTATACAGTAGGAAAGTGGGAAATTGCAGGGTTTGTCTTCGTTCCTAGGAAGCTCTCTTGGAGAAATTATTTCTTAAAAACTTTCTGTTGTAACAGCGCTGGATGAAAGTGCAAGGCAGGTGTAGCAAAGCCCCAGAAAGAAAAGGTGGCGTTCATTTTAAAAAATGTATGTTCTTATACCCAGGGATGCCTTCCTTCAACCTAATCTTTTAGAGAGAGAAAAAAAAATAGACATTTCCAAACTGCACCAGTCAGTTATCCTTTCAATTGAAAGACATTATTTCCAGGACTTGGATGTTTTTTTCTTGGACCTGTTAATCTTTTGTCTGGTGTCTCTTTCTGTCTTCCCTTCCTCAGGACTGCTGCAGCGGCACCATCGCTATAGCTGAACAGTGCAGATCAATCAGCGACAAATTGCTTTCCCTGGAGGATCAGCTGCAAACTGCAGTTCTTCATCGGGATGAAAGCCTGACTCATATCCTTTCATTTCTTGTATAGACTACGGAGACTCTAGGCCAACACATCCAGACAAGGAAAATGTTAACAAACTCACCATATACTGTATTTCTTCCCTTTTAGGCCAGACAAATATTGATGAGCTTTTTACATCCAGAATGAGCCTCTCTCAGTGTTTATCAGTTTCTCATTCTTGTATGTGTGCAAGCATTTGCACGGTGTGAGGTGTACTGTATATAATACTTTGACTGGTGTTGAACGTGTTTTATTTTGATATATTAACACAACCCAGCTTTGTGGTTGATGCTTCTGCCAGCCACAGTAAAAGAAGGGAGCTGGGGCTATAGCATAGTGAAACCACAAAGAGAAAATAACCTTATTTATTCTGGACTGAAGAGTAAACCAGGTTTCATATTGATAGTCAGTGAGTAAATAATATACAATGAAAATGAGTTTAAATTAATTGAGCAATTTATATATATTTATTTTTGCAATGTAATTATTTTTTGTAATTATTACACAGGCCGTATTATTCAGAACCTTGCTTTTAGATCATTATGAAATGGAGTTTGTAAGCTAACATTCTGGAGGTCGAACTTTGATCTCGCCCTTTTCCGCTCTCCTGTTTGGAAATATCTCGCCTCTCGAGAGCCTTTTTTTTGAGCGTCTTTCTTGGGCCTCTGCCTCAGCCTCACCTGTGCAGAGGCTCCTTGTCAGCTGCATGGAGTCCTGCTGGCCCTGACCCCACAGTCAGACCAACGTTTCCTCAGCCAGATGAGTCACGCCAAGCGCACTTGAAACGCTCTGTCCCCATAACCGCCATCGCCTCGTCACATCAATTAGGGTCTAACTGCTGCAATGGTTTTAACACAGCACATTTTAAATTTATTTGGATTTTTCAAGGGAATAACCGAAAACAAAGTTAATTGGATGTAAAGCTGTCATTAAAAATCTACGCTTGCCAGACACGATCAGTTCTGATTAACTAGGGATTGTAGACGTGCTAGAAGACGAGGAGTGTAACGTTGCTCTTTTGACTCTAGCGGAGCGTGAATGCAGTTTTTCATTTGAAGTAAAAATAGCATTAGTAAGGATGAGTCTTTAACATTTACAATTTAGCATAATACGCGATATAGCCTAAGCATTGTTAAACTAAACCATCATTAGAGGCTCAAATTATTTTAAATACCTCATACGATCACGTTTGTGTATTACACCTGTACGATTTGATGGTAATCATATGAAGCAAGCATTAATATTATCAATAACAATGACAACAGCAATACTGTTTTATTGAGCATATTTTGACAATATTAGTAAGTAGTATAGTAGTAAGTAGTATAAGTAGTTAATCATTATTTTTGGTTAGACTTTTGTTAGTAGTTAATGATTTTGGTTAGACAAAAGAAACAAGGAAGAAATGTTTATAGCCTGTAACGAACAGTTCTTTCCGGACCCTATGCGGACGACACAGTCCGACGGAGTGGGGAGACACTAGGGAAACGTCATGCAGGAAAACGGGGTTGAAGACAGGGGGGCGTGTCCAAGGTTCGCTGGTGCACGGGGGAGGTGTGGCCGAGGCGAACAATCCGAGAGTAGTCCTTAGGGAAAATCCAAAACGCAAGGGTAAGTCCAAAACCAGGAGATCCATCAGAACAGAGAATTAAAAACCACGCAGGCCGGGTCGGAACAGGCGGACGGGGAACGGGAACGGGAACCGAGGTTAAAACCTTAACGGGACCAGGCGCTTCCAGGTCCCGGACTCGCACGATATGGAAATCAGAGCAGAGCCCGGATGAGCGTCAGCGCCTGGCTTTTAAGGTGGGCTGGGAATAGGGATCAGGTGCACAGAATGAAGTCTTTAGTGAAAGGGCTGGAGCACCCTTAAGGAGGGGGAGACTATCCTAGCTGCCGTCACATCATCCAGGTGGGGCTGCACATTCTTGGTGGTAGAGGGGATCCCCATTACCTGTAAAGCACTTTGAGCGGAGTGTCCAGAAAAGCGCTGGATATATACAGTAAGTGTAGGGAATGATTTTTTTAGAAAAACTTGTTGAAACTTTGCAGATAACATACAGGTAAGAAGATTAATGTGAACTGCAGAATTACAACATCTATATTGATTTCATTATCTGATCAACTGTGAACCCATGATGGAATAGTAGGTGGTTATGCTGCCTGGTCATGATTCATTATTCATGAAGTGCACTTTATCTTGGAATAAATAATTAATTAGCGCAATCTGGATGCATTTGAGAGGCAAGGAAGGTAGATTACTCCATCTGCTGTGAAAGCAGAGACCCTCCGTTCATTACGTCCTGCACAGTGAAAACCTCACAGAGGAATTTGTTGTTGGAGCTGGAGGCCTAATTTTTTCGAACGTCCTGATATGTGAAGCGGTTCTTGCTATCTCTGCCCCCGAAATTTAATCAGGTAGTCTGAAGAGAAGGTACTCTGCCGAGTCCCTGAACTGGTCTCCTCAATGCTTTGCTGTATCCCTGTTTTTATAAAGTAATATGTCAAATATGTGAATGAGTGAAAACCCAATACGTAACAAACTGAGAAAAGAAACCGTTCATTCTGGAAAGCAGGAGTAAAGGTGTTAGTGAGGGTATCTGGACTACTCAGCTCAAGTGTTGTAGTTTTTCCTTGAACTTTCTACACTGTAGACATCTGTTTTATATCCATCTGGAAAGCAGGGGATGCCTGTCATGTCTATCGTGTCATGATCCTTTTCCTTGACCACGGCAGCACAGAATTTGCAGAAGGAGATCCAGACAGTGAAGGCCACTCTGCAAGCAATGCTGGAGCAGCTGAAGGCCAGCTCTGAAGAAGAAGACTGGGAGCTGTAGGGTCTGCACAGTGCCAGCTGGTGATTGCGACTGGGAGCTTTATCGCAGCATCTCATCTGACAGCAGTACACAAGAGACCGTTTTTAGTAACTGAACACTGCCTTAACATTAGGGACTGGGTTTAAGTGGCTGCCCCAGTGGAAAAGGCTGAAACCAGTGTTGCAAGGACCAGCCCGATCAGAGTTATACAAAACCAGCTGTGGTTTCTGAAAGCACAAACCCCACACAATCCTGCATTTGTTCTTCCAGAACAGTCAGGAGCTCAGGGTGTAAAATTTTGCACATGGAGATAGACTTACAGTACACATCCTTTTGCACACCCATGTGATGTGCATTTACCGTGCCTTGCTTTAGACAATTCTCATGTGTAAGACAGCTCTGATGAGAGAAATCGATCCAGGACTGCTTTCACACGCACATTTTAAGGGGATGGGGTTGCTGAAAAAGCGGTTTGTATTTTTCATTTCTGTGGTCAAGTTTAAAAAAATAACTGGATTCTTTAGCTGTCAATAACCCTCCTCTTATTGATGCGCAGCCAAGTACAGAGGTGTTCTCTCACTTGCAGGATTATGTCCTAAGAAAAGGATTATAGTGGCAACAAAGAGAACACCTTTATGCTGTGCTGCAGACAGAGAAATGAATTTTTTACAGCGCATGTGCATTCTGTGAAGTGCTTTCACAGAGCTTTAAGAGTGAAGTGAAAAACTAAGAAAATCTTCAATGTATCATTGAAGCAGCGTTAATGGAAACAGATGCAAGAATTCAAGCATTATCTTCATCTTGCATTGTAACAAACCTTAAGAGTAAAGGTGAATGTGTCTATGGGTGACAATTCCAGCAAGTACGCATTTTTGGAGACTTTTTTTTTTAGACTTACACCTTTTCCTGCAGGGATTATTGGAATGCTTAGTGCATGCTTTATAAAAAAAAGCGAGTAACATTCCTTGGGTGAGTAGATGTGGCTCTGTTGTGCAGGTGTCCTAGTATCTCATGACCTGCCTGTCATCATCCAGTATGTCCCCAAGCACCTCTACACCTCTCAAGGGTGGGAGGCCTTTCTTGAGAGTGGGGCTCAAACTGTCCAGAATTCCAAGAGGTTCTGCTTCTTCAAAAAGAAGCAAGTAGCTCTGTAGTATGGAGAAATTGTTGTATTTATTAAACATATGAGTCAGAAGTTATTTTATATAAACATCTTTTCTACAAAATAAATGGCAGTATTTACCTATAGTTTACTACTGTTATTTAGCTATTCCTATCAATAAAGGTTATTAATATAGGTTTTTCTTTGGCCACTTGTGTCGTGACCACTCGGTTTGAATTCACTAGAGTGGGACAGTTACACGAAGACCTGCCCCTTGTGTGTCATCTACCTTAGCCATTAGATCATTATTTCAATGCAAAGTGACATTTGTTAACTTGTAAATTCTTTCACTGTTGTTTTTAAGTATCCATGTTTTTGTTTTCTGAAGTTGTGTTCTCACCTAATTTGTGTTACCACTTTATTACAGCACGCCAGCTGTGAGTAATTAAGCACTAATTTTGAATAATATATAGCTGCATCACTTCATCAGAATTCACCCTTGGTTCAGTTGTTTAATGTCAGATTGTAATTTACAATACTTTGTATCATGTATTTATGCATGTATACGGCACGGCACAGCCTGTTCAGAACATAATCATGACTGCGTTCATCTGCTTTTATCATTGATGTTTATTCTGTGTAATTATTTATTATAAATGATGAAACACTTATGTTATCTTTCACAAAGGGAAAACAAAATGTTTAGCCAGATAGAATAGTATTAATAGACATCCTTCCTTGACTAAATTTGCATCTGAAGAAATTTAATTGATAAACATTAGGAAGAACTACCTACCCTGCTAATAGAGTATAGACAAGTTCATCAATATTCCTTTTGCATTTATACCGGTATAGTACAGACAAAAGGCACAGACACCTATTTTCTCACTTTTTACCTTTTCTACCTGTGAACAGCACTATACAGTTATCCTGCAGCAAAATGTTAAAAAAAATGTGCTGATGTGGCTAACATTGCAGGGCTGTCATATTTGTTGCCAGATTTTCTTTTTAAAAAAACCTTTTAGAAAGAATGGACATTTCACCAAAGACTGTGAGAAATGGAGATAAGTGCTTTATTCATTGGTGTGGACTGCTTAGAAGCAACACTTGGCATACAACCAGCAGTGAGAATTTAACACACAACTCAGTTTATGCCTGAACCATATTGCAAAAGCACAGGATGAAGAGGTGTTTATCCTTAAAACAGTTTGACTCAGATTCTGGCTCTCATCAAATAGTTCACAAATAATTAAACTGATGGTTTTACAAGGCAGTCAAGAAGTGGAAGTAATTGGAAGTAAGAGGAAGTAATATATGAAAATTTGAGCCTTGCTGCGTGAAAGTCTTTTTGCAGTTTTCTCCTCTTAATATTGTTTTTCCTTCTGCAGAAATAATTCTGCACTGATGTACTACTGAAATTTAAGCCACTTTTAACCTAATAGGTTAATCTTGACGTTTTTGTAGTACAGAAAGTAACCCTTTTAGCTTTCAAAGTGGTAATAAATAAAAACACTAATGACTGCTAGAAATTGTTTATGCTGATAGCAAACCTGTAACTCCTGACTGTGACATTTCAGGACATTTGCTATTCAATGTGAATGGTTTAAAATGAAGGAGACTTAAACTAATCTTCTTTTACCTTATGATCAATAAAAATACCACAAAACATTGTTAATTGTGGTAAAAAAAACATCTGGGAGGCTTACAAAGATGTTGGTCACTGTATTGTAATATTGTGAAATGTTAAATTATATACAAAGTTTTACAATATTTTTCAGCTAAACATCTTTTCTTTAAAATAAATGGCAGAACTATCCAATATTGTTTGTACAGTAAACAAAACGTTCCTATTATTTATATATTGTGGTAAATAAAAAAAAGTTTTCAAGGTATTTAAGCTTCAATTGATTTTTTTTTAATTGGTCGTGTTCTTCAGATCTGAAAGGACTGTTTGCCAAAGGGTTTGTCCCTGAGGTGCACAGGAATGTATTTTTCATGCTTTTTCCCAGAGACCCCGGGTTATCACCCTGACTGGTTCACTACTCCTGCCTCCTGATGTTGTGCTCAGTGGATCTTCTCCATCTGTTAAGTGGCAGCAGCATTGCTGAGGAGGGCCAGGGAGGAGAAAAAGACCTTTTAAACCAACTGCTTGGGCACTATTGAATACACAAGGCTGATACACTGTAGCTTCCATTGAGAGAACTATTGTCTGAGCATGGCTAAGCAATCGGATACCCTGGTAACCCCTGCTCAAAGTCCAATTTGCACAAAATCTGAAAAGAGAAAACCCTGCCAAAGTTACAGTATTGTGGAAATTGCTCTTTTTTCTTTCTGTGCTTATTTTCGATTCACTCCATTCCCCAGAATTTCTGGTGAGGTCAATGGCTGGCTTATACTGGAGGATTCCAGCTGCTTCCCAATGGATTGGGATAGGTTGATGAGATAGCACTATTTTCATTGTCATGAGATTAATTAGGGCCTGTCTGTATTAACTCTTTGTCATGACGAACCTAAAGAACAAGATGACTGAAGAAAGACCTGAAGACTTTACTTGGATAAAACTGTGCTGCGTTAAACCGTTTCCGAGTTCGGTGACTTTACAAAAAATTTGCCAATATTTAAAAATGTTTTTTTTTTTATATATTTAATATTGTGTTATTTAACACAGTGTACTTAATACATGGCAAGAAAATCACTCCTCAGAAAGACGTCCTTTTTTTAGCCAGAAACTCGTGTAATTGTTTATCGTCTAGGCTGCAGACAGTGAAATCATGTTTCCCATGGTAACAACACTGGTGCCTAGTTACAGATTTGTGATGTAGGAACTGTACTCAAAGGGAAGGTAAAATCGGAACTAAATGAGGCATAACTCTTGTCTGTATTATTTGAGTCTAAATGCTGAGATTCATAGTTAAAAATGAAGAGAGGAAAGACCGACATCTTCTTACACCTTCCTCAAAGAATATAAAAAATGTAATGTCATTCAGTAGTTTAGAACAATAGCATGACAAATAGACCTTAAAATTAAGAATATTACATTTCTTCACTGGCGTATAGACTTGGGTCCTTATTTGCAAGAGTGAATAAAAAGCAGACATAAATCTTACATTACCACCATCATGCATCTTTCAGCCATAAAAGCATATTCACAAAGGTGATTGCCCCTTATTAAGATGGTACTGATTAGCATATCATTATCAGTACGTCTCGAAAAGGAGCTCATCTATCAACACAACACGGACCTTACAGAAGGCCCACCGACTACAAAGAGCAGAGATTGAGAACATGTAGGGAAGTCATTAAAATCTGGAGAATAGAAACAGACTAAAATGAGATAAAAGTGCCAGCAAATTTTAACCGAGTTGGAGTTTATTAAAAATTAATATGCCATGAAATCTATTACTCAAAAATTGCATGTGCAGTGCATTAATAGAAAAGGCACAAACATTTGTTGCTGTAAAAATGCATCTTGAAAGCCATTAAAGAAATTCAGTTGTCTCGCACAGCAGTTCTTGTTTCAGTGTTTTCTGAAATCTCAACCTGGTGACAGGCGGAGCAGTGGCTCAGTGGCTAAGGATCTGTGCCTGAGGCTGGAAGGTTGCTGGTTCACATCCCACATCTGGAAGGGGAATCCTACTCTATTGGGCCATGAGCAAGGCCTTTAACCCCAACTGCTTCAGGGGTACCGTATAAATGACTGACCCTGTGCTCTGACCCCAGGCTTCTCTCCCTGTCTGTATCTCATGGAGAGCCAGCTAGGGTATGCGAAAAAGACAAATTACTAATGCAAGAAATTGTATTTGGCTAATAAAGTCATCTTATCTTATCTCTTCATTGGCATAAAGTGAGGGAAGCTTGAAAATGAAAGATCCAGAAGACAGAACCAGCAGGCAAATTCTGTTTCAGGTGAGGCCATTCTCTAAGGAAACCAGTCAATTTTGTTTGTATCGCAGTCCAGTCCTCTCCTGCCTTCCCTATGATATTGGCATCTTTCTCCATTAGCAAGCACTGTCCCCAAGATGACTTATGCTGGAAGGCAGGCTTTAAAAGCAGGATCTCGGCTCATAACACCTGCTTTCCATCACTACTATATAGCACGCGATTTAAGGCATGCCTTATGGTAAAGAAGGCTTTATGAATACCATGTGCATAGCATTGCCCTCATTAGTGTTATCTTTCCACATCATTTGAATACATTAGCATGCATTCAGTCAGCAAATGCTAATGATCCTGTCTCATTATTAAGGTATGGGTTCATGTGGTTATGCTATAAGTCACTTATTGGAGTGTGCGAATGCAGTTTTTCATATTTTTGACACTTATTATAGCATCAGGAACTTGAAAATGAAGCCCCTAAAAATCAAGCTTCAGTCTGTAGGGCTGGACAATGTTTTAGCATTTAAGTCAGACAATTCAGTGAACTTAATTCTTAACACTGTAGTTTTTTTTAAACTATGCACAGCGATGAAACATTAGTGCCAGAAGTGAATTGAATCTAGTTAAGAGTGAATCGTTAGCTTTTCTGTCAGTTGCTGGTGTTCACTGGTGGAGAAGGGACTTGAGGCAAAATGAGAATCTTGGCAACTCGAGTGTGTCAGCTAGCATCCATTTAAAAAAAGTAGAAAAACATGTCAAGCTCTGCAGAAGGTTTCCCATGGATTCATGCTTGTATTTTATTCCAGATTCAATAATTAAAACACAAAGCACAGGGAACAGTGATATTCAAGGATTTAGCTATGCAAGATCAACAACATACTTAAAAGCAGAAGTCAACCATTAAGGAAAGCTTCTTCCTGTGGGCTTACAGAAAATTACATGCGAGCATAATCCATACTCAGGAAATGATCCATAGATCAGTGGAAATTAATTGCAAGTAAATGCAAATTCATGGCAGGGGTACAGTATGTTTGAAATGTATGTTGTAATAATCTGAATATCTTCTCTCGTGTTTGCCATATTGTAGGATGTACCAATATAACTCGCTAGATAAGACCCAACTAGAATTGCCTGAAACCACCCTGTGATTTCACCTCTTGCAAGGTGTATTTGATCTTCCATCTGGGTGTCGATTTAGAATGCCCTAATTCAAGAGCAATAGGAATAAGTCATCTTTTATTCCCACTGCTATTTGCTCACTCTGGAGAATTGACTGTATATTTTACATTATTTATTTATTTATTTATTTTTTAATTTTATTTCTTAGCAAATGTATCAAGTAACCTGCCTGCAAAGCAAATTTCCCATCTGGGATAATAACGTACATGTACATGCTGTACATGCTGTGCAAACCTCCACACAGGGAACTTTATGCTAGGCACCCGATTACCCAGGCTTTTATAGCTGTAATGGTAATCTTTCCAGTGACGAGTGGTTGGGCAGTACTTTGTCAGGAAAGGCTATGCTTATGTTTTTAGATAACAAGCACCAGTCATGTTAAGTTATAGACCTATCAGACTTTGAAACAGCCTGTTGTGAGTGTGTCACATTTTGGTGCATGGCTACAAACCCCACAGTTCAACACAGGTGACGAAGTGTAGGAAGGCCTTCTCTGACACTCCCCCTCTGCACGGACAGCATTTTTCACTTTACACAAATTCAGCCAGCCGCCATGAAACTGTGTATCAGATGTACCGCACAGCTCCTCTTAAACTGAATTTCCTAGTGTGCTAAGTATGTATGTGAGTGTGTGTGAATCAATAAACTCAGTTCTCTCCATTGCAATACATATACTGCTACTTCTGCTCAAACACAGTACTGAGGGATACTGTATATTTTACACTTAATGTGTCTTGTATCTGTACCATTTATCATTTTAAAACGTTTACAGTAATTGTGGTTTCATAGCCTATTGACCAGGACATTTCTGCTGTAAATTTCACTTATATTCTGACTAGTCTGAAAGAACACAAAGGTGAGATGATGGGGCATTACATAATATATATGACAGCAATGCTATATAATTTACACAGTGTTATCTGCAGTTTTTCAGCCTGGGACCTCAAAACCAGACCCACATAAATAGCGAGAGAATGAACCAAACATTTCCAACGAGTGTGGAGTACAGCACTCCAGCGAACACAGAGGAGATAAGCAGGCTATAAGAACAGCCTATGCACCGCTTCCAGAGTCTGAGCACAGCAGTTAAAAAGTTGTGAATACACACTGACCACTGGCAAACCATGGCTGTGCAGAGATGTCTGGTCTACAGTATATGCAGATCTGACTGAAACAACAGTGCACTTTGAGTAAAGCTGCTTTAAGTTTCCAGCAGATTCTGTTTTCCCTCCAGAAGCAGATGGTAGCTGTGTTTTATGCAGAGTCACACTCTTGTTCCAATATTTTTTCACACTGAGTTTAATTTGTGCCCGTTTCTCAATGGACTTGTATTGAACTTCTTGGAAATTATGACTGTGCACGGTTTGCAGAACACCTAAAAAATTAACCCTTAACCCCAATCGTCAGTATTGATTTTTTTTTTGGTCTGTGTTAATCAATAGTTTGAAGAATTCTCCTGGTTTAACATGAATGAGCTCTCTGGCTCAGTCGTTCCTTTCTCTCATGACATGAAGTACTGATTTTTTCTATCTATTGAAATGACCACATGGAGTAGTAATAAGAATCTTCTTTGGTCATCTTAAATCATTTTTCATTTTAAAAAAAATCATAATGTCATTTTTAGTTTATTTTTACTTGGGGACATTAAAAGACAAGATGAGAAAATAATAATAATAACATCATCACCTTATTAACCCCATACAATTTCTTGCATTAGGAATTTGTCTTTTCACATACCCCAGCTTGGTCTCCATA